GGTCAACATGTCCGTTAAAGTTAAAATCTTCCGGACAAAATTTGAAAAGTGCCGGTCAGAGGTCTTCTTTGTTATTTATTGAGCATTAAAACAATTTGATAATGACTCTATATAATAATATAAGAATCAGCTGATCTCTGAGCAGGAGACGTGGGGAGAGGGAGGCGGGGCTATTTCATTGCTATCAGAAAATGATTGTATAGAGGCGTACACACGGAGCCGTTTGCCCCCCCAGAGTGTTCCGTTTGCAGATCTATCCACCTTGGGACCCGTTATCGTTTGTGGGGTCCGTTTCTATTGTTTTGTTATGGCCTCGTGTAAATGAAAGGGCTATACGCAAGAGAAACTATGCCGATCCAACCCGTTTTGTTCTCGTGTAAACGGGGTCTTAAACTCTCGTGTGCATTAACAGCTGGCCGACACTGTGGACCTGTCTTCAATTAGAATCAAGTGCTTTCTAAGTGTTGGGTCACTTTGATATTTTTAGGGAACTGTTCAGTGTTTGGACAGGGATTTCCAATATTTGCCTTTTTATTTCAGCAACAACAATTCTAATAAGTTAATTAATTCTATATTTTGGATGAAAAAGTAGAAGGAACTGGTGCAGTTCGGGAGCATTGGGAACCCCTGCCCCCCCGACACCTTGCCTGTATTCATGCATGTGTATTTCCACTGATCTTGAGATACCCCAAAGGTCAGGTTAAGCCTGGATCATGTTGATGCCATGTGCTGGCATGAATTTGTTAATATCGCTTATTGCACACCCGTAAGGGATTATCTCTCATGTGTGAGTCCCTGAGCTGAGCCACGTTGTGTGAAACTGTCGCAGTGTGTGTGCATGTTGTGGGATTCTGGATCGCTTTCTTCCCTTCTGCCTCCAGGTAAACGAAAAGCTCTGAAGCTGAATTTCGCCAACCCTCCAGTGAAAGCGGCCTCCAGGCTCCCGCTCCATCCAACCGCCCCCCCTTTCCAGAATCCTCACATGTAAGTTTCCTCTGGGCCACTGTCTCTGAATTTTCTGCAGGTCTTAGAAACACAATTTTTTAGTAATGCAATTACAGATGGATTCAATAATGAAACAATGAAAACAAAGTAAAAGTTTACAAACCGAGCTTATTCCTTTTTCAGATCCCCATTAGTTTTCTTATCTTCTAAAACAGGGTTGTTAGCTTGTTGCTAACACGCCTGTTGCCAGGAATAGCAACAACAACCAATCACTTCTAGCTGATACAGCAACCTATTGAACCCTGATTGGTATATCTCACTTTTCCCTCTCCTGCTTCCTAATGTTTGCCAATGAAGACAGGAAGTGATCCGTAGCAACTTTCCTCATTTCCTCATACCCCCACTCCTATCAGAGGGTCCAATCACATAAGAAAGCTTGGATTAAAAAGGATCCATTAGCTTCACATTCACTGATGAATCATGTCATATCCACAGTCACGACTCTCTCCCTTCCTGCTAATCTGTCTTATGTCACCTGGTCTCCTCCAGAGAGCGTCTACGCACACACAGCATCGAGTCATCTGGGAAGCTGAAAATCTCTCCGGAGCAGCACTGTGACTTTACAGCAGAGGACCTCAGGGACCTTGGGGAGATTGGGCGCGGAGCCTACGGTTCTGTCAACAAGATGGTACACAAACCCACGGAACAGATCATGGCTGTCAAGGTGAGACACAGACAGACAGACAGACAGACAGAGAGAGAGAGAGAGAGGCGGAGAGACATACAGAAGATTATTGTGTGTGTGTGTGTGTGTGTGTGTGTGTGTGTGTGTGTGTGTGTGTGTGTGTGTGTGTGTGTGTGTGTGTGTGTGTGTGTGTGTGTGTGTGTGTGTGTGTCTCTCTCTCTCAGAGGATCCGCTCCACGGTGGATGAGAAGGAGCAGAAGCAGCTGCTGATGGATCTGGACGTGGTGATGAGGAGCAGCGACTGTCCCTACATCGTCCAGTTCTACGGGGCTCTCTTCAGAGAGGTCAGTTGACCCGAGCAGCACTAATGTGGAGACCACCATCCTGACATCCTCTCAATAACCTCTGACTCTGTTTCAGGGCGACTGTTGGATTTGTATGGAACTTATGGCTACCTCATTAGACAAATTCTACAAATATGTATATTGTGCATTAGATGACGTCATTCCAGAGGAAATATTAGGCAAAATAGCATTAGCGGTGGGTAGACATCATTTTCCTCCTACTTATGATTTTACACCAAACATATGACGGGAACAGAAGTGACGTTTTTATTTTGTCTCTAACAGACCGTTAAAGCACTGAACCACTTGAAAGAAAATTTGAAAATTATTCACAGAGGTAAGTATTTTTCTTATATATAATAGACATAAGTACAAAGGTATTTAATGTCAGCACAATATTTTGGTCATTGTTAATATGAACACATTTCAATTTTTCCTTTCTGTCATGTTAAGACATCAAACCCTCCAACATTCTAATGGACCGGACAGGAAACATCAAGCTGTGTGACTTCGGCATCAGCGGGCAGCTGGTGGACTCCATCGCCAAGACCCGAGACGCCGGCTGCAGGCCCTACATGGCGGTGAGACATGGCACCCATTATTATCTCTACCACATGTAAATTAACTCACGCTGTTAAAAAACAATAACACTAACAAACCAAAGCGGCTTACATACACCTCAGTAGCATAGACATGCCCAGATGCCTATTTGGGGCTAAGTATCTTGCCCAAGGTCGCCTCGACATGTGACTGCAAGGGATTGAACCGCTGACCATTTGCCTGTTCAGCCTCTGAGCCACAGTTGACCCCCCCTTTGTCACTAATGGTAATTTTCCACTGCAGGACCTTGCACGGCTTAGTACGGTATGG